GGCATAAAATAAATTATGGGTCCTGTTTGTTAGAGGTATATTTATACCAATTTCTAACTATAACTTTCAGCAAAATTTAATTTGCATTTTGTTGAATTTTGTGTTGTTGATATATATCATTTACTCCAAAGAAAATACTGCAGTAATAATTTCTTTTTTGCTTTACCAATTTGTTGTGTAAATGATGCACTTAAAAAGTATGATTTGATGAGAATTTTCTGGAATATTGTACAACTACTAAATTAATTCTAGCATTTTTCAAAAGATAACTAGAGTGACAATGTAAATGAATAATTGAGGGCAAAAGCAAGAAAAAAGTGAGTTGCATGTAGATAGAATACAACTTAATGCTAGAGGGACAGGGTATTTATTTTTGGGACATATCATAATTATCTTGGTGATATTGTAACAATAAGAATTTTGTTTCAAGAGAAAAAATTACTGCTAATTACTGCTAATTTATTGATTTTCTAGCGATGGACGCAAAGCTGTATTAAAAACACAATATTTTCGATGTATTTTCCACTGTGTGGTTGAAGGTACTCTAAAATGGTAATACAGAAAGAAGAAATAAAATATATCTATACAGGTTATAACAGTCTCCATTGATTCAACTTCTACAAATGCAAGCTTCGGAACTGTTTTCACCATGTTTTCGATGAGGAAACTTTTAGATTGAAAGAATAAGTAATTTAGAATGCAAAATCAGGGAGGGTCAGAGCTAGGATTAAAATGTAGGTCTGTGTGCTTCTAAGGTCACAGTGTTTCAAATGCAAGATACTTACTATTATTTCTGTATTTCTCTTGCAATATTTGCTCTATGTTCAAGGTGAAGTAGTCGTACATAGTACCATATGGAATTTGAAGGTCCATGTTATGGTTTACCAGAAACCCTACCAGCATATGATCAACCACTTGCTGCTTGTCAGTTCTGACAATCAGTCTTGATTATAACTGTCAAAGGCTTCAATTTGGCAGAGGTGAGATTTTAGTTTAGGGTGAATTTTTTCTTTTTTTTCTCTTTTTTTTCCTTTTTGCCTGTATCCCCAAAAATACAATCTTGCCCAAAGGGTCACACTATAAAACACAGTTCAATAAATTTGTTTCCTCTTAGCCTTCCATTAAGGCAGAAATCAAAAGTTGGGATTCATTCTCTTTCTTCTTTCTTTTCTTTTCTTTTCTTTTCTTTTCCTTTCTTTCCTTCTTTCCTTCTTTCCTTCTTTCTTCTTTCCTTCTTGTACTAGGAATTTAATGCTGAGGGTGCTTTACCACTGATCTATAACCCTAAGTTGTTGAGGATGTTGCTAGGTTGCTGAGGCTGACTTTGAACTTGCAATCCTCCTGTCTCCACCTCCCCACTCACAAGGATTACAGGATGCACCACCATGCCTGGTAAATGTTGGGGTCTTTAATATAAACAGTTTTCTGTTTCACAGCTTCACCTTAAATATTAGTTTTAAAACCCGAATATAGATTTATACTATCACCAGTTTAGTTGGTGAAACCGTTTTGTATACAATGAAATTTTAAAGGAATATCTGAATATATTGCCTATATGAAGTTCCTGATGTCAGAAATCAGGCAGCTTATTTTTAACATGCTTCAAGTTTAGAACAGCAGAGCATTTTGTAATTTAGAACAAAGGCATGTTCCCTCTAGTAGTTTCTGATATCAAGTTCAGTGTATAAATTTGCCTTGAGACATGCCTGCAATAAAAGTTACAGCTTGTCGGATTCAGTGTCGTTCCATTATAGCACACCAAGACAGCACCAAAGGTGACAAAAATAAAATGACTGAAGCAAAATGAAGTGAACACAAACAGCTTATCATAGAAAGAGAAGGCTGTTTTAGGAGCCCAACATAGAAAAGGAGTGCTTATCATGAGTAGCCATCTTGGTTTTTTTTTCATGCTAATAAGATTTTAGAGCAAAAGAAATGTGATGGCCTATGTTATGAACCACTGAAAGGACTCTATTAGGTTATTCTCCAAGCTGTAATCCTTAAAAGTTGTATCTGAAGGTCAAATGCTGAGTGAATATTATTTAAATAGGGCCAATCACTGCTTTAAAATGCAAATCAATCCTAGAATCATCCATAAGCATCTAGGACATAAATTAATTTACCATGGTGGATATTAACATTTCTTCCTAATAATAGGCAATGTCTTCCTAGGTTGCAGATGGAATGAGGGAATCTAGAACATTTCAAAATAGAGCTGTGAATACACTTGAAATACACTCCATTTTTCTCCCTATAACCCACACACCACTCAATGCATGCTCACTCTGTGAATCTATTAAACCTGAGCCCCCCACACCCCAGACACATTACCTGTGTCACATGTTCACACAGAGTGAAAATTGAAAGTATGTGACTGTAAGGGGTAAATGATAAAAGAAAGGAAATGTTTGCCACACTAACCAGCCTTGTTTTTTTAACGAGCTAAGATTCTTTTATTTCCCATTCTGTTCTCCTGTCAAACTGTTTTCAACCCATGGGCACAAAACTATGCTGATAGAGAACAGGTAAGCATCATGTAGCTATTTATATGAATATTACAAGGAACTGGCAATTTAGGGAAATTCTGTGGAAATAAATTTTAGGAATTTAAGTGGACCTACACTGATTTTAAACTCTTTACATGAGAATAAACATTTAAACCCTTTCAAGAACTTAAAACTAATTTTGATATATGTGATGATCTTAAATATAACTGACAGCAACAGCTTTTATATTGGGTAGGGGAGATTTCTTTTTTTTGCTGCTTCTTTGAGGATTTATTTGGATTGTCATCCATTGGTTAACATCTTACAGAGGGAGCATGGTTTACCTTGTAATGCAGGGGAAATTCTACAGTATTTACTAGGTA